ACTCAAAAATGATCCAGAATTGAAAATTAGTAAAATGAGATTTGAAATATTATCTCAAGGTATAATTTTCTTAGTCATGACACATGATGTTCTAACTTATACTGTTTTCGTTATATATATTTAAAAAATTAAATTTTTAGGCATCGAACAACTATTTAGCAGTGAAATTAAATCAACATATTTTATTGGTTATACTCGAGAAGGGTCCAAAACGAATAAAGGCAAATTATATGATAAATACTGTAACATATGGAAAAAAATGAAAAAAATTTCACCAATAATAGTTACCTACTTCAACTAAAAACCACCAACATGATTTTTCTCCAAATGTGATGTCTGATGGTAATATTTTTTTGCTAATGTATATTGAAGTTAACTAATTTTTTTTACCTAATTAGGTATAGAGTTTAATGAAGAAATTTGTTGGCTGAAAAATAATACAGAGCCAAATGAAACAGTTTATTCTTATTGGAAACAACAGCACCTTATAGGCTTGGCTCGAATTTTGAAAATGCACTTAGTATGTTTCCAGCACTGACACTAAGTTCCTTGGGTCCTTCTCTCGTTAGTTAAAATTTTATTTTTAATGAAAAAGTTTAGTTTTAATTAATTTAGTTGTATTATTTATGCATTTTTTTTTTGTATTTTTGTAGATAGAATCAGATTTTAATTATTTATATCCATCAAAAACTAATTGCTCTCTAAATTCGAACTATTTACTCGTATTCAAAGTTTTAGAAAATATATAGATGAAAATAATATAAATTTTGGAACTAAAGGTCTAGAATATATTACTGAGTTCAATAACCCAAAAAGGCCTGGTAAGTATAATAACATTTATTAAATGGACTGGTTCAACGTCTGAAAGCCTGCAGGTCATTAATGGATTTAAAGTTATATTGTCAAGTTACCTTTTTATGTTATTAATTACTAACTTCAGTTAAAATGTGTCTTATATATTTTTTCAATCAAGATTGAGTTAATATCCTACATGATTTATTTAAGTATGATCACCATTATAAATAGTATAAATATATAATTAATAATGAACAGTATTAATTTCTATATGTATATGTACCTATTACATTTTTATTATTAATCAGTTTTACAAAATATGTTGTGTTATCCTGTGGTGTGTTTGGTTATTTATATTTTATATTCAAAGTTAAGTTTAATTTTAGTTTATTAAATATATTTTGTTATAGGTAATAAAGTCTATGCTGCTTTATGGTTTTTGCCACTTATTTTTCAACAACTTTGTGGAAAACTTACTAAGACAAATAATAAAAAGTCTTATTGGCGTCCTAAGGTGGAACAAGCTTGTTCTTTTATTCGTTTCATTAATGTAAGTTTTAAGTTTAAATATTTACAATATGGGCTTAAATAAAAAATTCCTTCAGAAAATTACACTTTAAACCAAGCCTGGGTATAAAAAGTTATAGTTAAGTTAATTACTAGTATTACTGTTTTTAAATTAAAACCATTTGGGTTATGCTCATATCTATTTAAAATGTTTATATTTATTAACAGTCAATTGTCAATATCTGTATGTTATTAAATCAAAATGCTATACTTATTATGTATGCAGTATGCTGTATGCTTAATAGTCATAATAATTCTCTTCATCTGTACAATTATTTTTAAAATGTATAGTTTTTTTATTTATTATTTTTATTAGTTTCTAGTTAAAACTATGATAGCTCCAAAATGTATAGTTAATGTATAGTAAATCTATTTCCTGTGCTCAATAATATTGATGATTTTTATTATTTAAAACCTTATTACTGGCTATTTATATATCACATGAAAAAAATAAGTTAATTAATTAATTGTAAGTTTCTACGCAAATTTTAACTGAACTGAAAAAAAAAAGTAGGATAACTTTACTATAAACTTTTAACTTTGTTATGTTTTCTATTAACTTAACTCAGTTAAAAAATCCCATTAAATTGTTCAGGGTTTCTTCAAACTATGATTTTTAGGTTGAAGGTGTGTTTTGAATTTAAAAATAAAAAAAAACTATTGTATTAATATACCTAGGTATTATTGTATTAATGATGAAAAATGTAATTATGTGTTTGTAACTAGGTATGTATTAATTTAATGTTTTTAACATTATATATTTTAGAACATAAATTATGTGAAAAATACTCATGAATCTATCGTCAAGAAGGCAATTACATTCGGTCTCACTGTACAACCATACATTTTAATTGTGGGTTCTATTTTTGAAGAAACTAATTCCGAAGAAAGAATCCAAAGTTTTCTGGTTATCAACAGCACCAATTACAAATTTGAAACGCCTCTCAAAGCAGTTGATACCTGTTTTAAATCGTTCTTTACATTGAACTATAAATACCCAGTCGAAGGAGAACAAGTATGGAGCTTTATTCAAAAATATTTTTTTGAAATAAACACAGACACTGATAAATGTTTTCCACAAATGGATACAATTATCAATGATCTACATAATTGTAATTAAGCATACTATAATATTAAACTATACTATTATATTTTCAAGTCAAAGTCGTTGAATAATTCATAACACATTTATTTAGAATTAAATTTTAAAACAAATATGCCCTCTTGTAATTAAGCATACATATCATTAGATTTTCAAGTCAAAGTTGTTATTTAATTCATAACACATTTATTTAGAATTAAATTTTAAAACAAATACCTATGCCTTCTTGTTTTTTTTGTAATAAGTTTTTTGTCTCTGTTAATTTCCTTACATCCCATTTAAATATCCAACATGATATAAAAAGTATTACTGAATATGTTTGTAAAGAAAATGAATGTTTTAGAAGTTTTAGTTCTTTAAATTCTTTTAAAAAGCAACATAATATTTATAACAATGTGGTTCCTATTGTTACTGTTGACCATGTGCCCAATATGAGTTCAAGTGCTATTGAAAATAATGAACTTTATACAATGAGAAATGAAAGTAATACATCCATTAATGAAACACCAAATAGTAATAAAATTGATAGGAATATATCTGAAACATCTTTAAAAGATGTAAAAGAAACGGTAGAAGCATATGCTTTGTCATTATCTTGTAAATGGGCGATAAAGGCGATAAAGTTCCTACCAATTCTGAATTTTGGTCAATTTATATATTAATCAGAAAAATATTAGATTTGGTAATGTCGAGTTGTGTTCAATATAAAGACTTATTATTACTGCAATCTCTCATAGATGAGCATCATGAATTATACTTAACGTTATTTAAAACTCATTTAAGACCTAAACATCATCATATGACACATTATCCACATATTTTAAGAAACTCTGGTCCACATGTATCTCTTTGGTCAATGAGATTCGAAGCAAAACATAAAGAGTTTAAAGATATTGCACATTCAATTTCTTCTAGAAAAAACATATCATATACCCTATCACTAAAATCCCAATTAAAATTAGCTAATACTTTATTAAAAAAAGAATGAAGTATTTGTAAAGAAATTTAATTTGGAAAAAGTATAATTTTAACCACATAACTTAAATTACAATATATGCCTTTGACATTTTATAAATCAACTTATTATCATAACAACTTTAATCTTGATTCAGTAAGCTTTAGATCGTGGGTTAATTATAAAGGTACAGTGTATAACAGCAACAACATGGTAGTTGTTAATAACAACTTGTTATAGACATATGTAAAGATGATTTATTTCCAAGATTTGGTAAATCAAATCAATTTTTGTTGATGGTACTAAAACTTTTTTCGTTTGTTGTTTAATAGAAACTATCAATTTTGATAATCACTTTCAAGCATATCATGTAAATATTAATGGAAATTTAAATGTATTATGTATATCTATTGAAGATATTGTTAATGTATCTCCTACTTTTTATTGTACACTTGCTAATGGAGACTACATGATACCATTTAGAAACTAAAAATTTAACATAATTATGTATTCAATCTATCTTTAAATTGAATAAACAAATAAATTTTACTGCAAGTATTTATGTTATTTATCACAACAATATTTTAAACAGCTCAAGCACCTCCGGGACCTACCTATGGAACAAGTTCTATTTAATGTGATGAAAATGCAAATTGTAAAAAGAAAGTTTAAAAAAGTAAAAGTTAACAGAAGAAAATTTTCAATATTACTATAAATTTGTCCTAAATTAAATTGTGGCGTATTTAGGGTTTTGTCAAGGGGGGGGGGGGGTGAGTTAACTTACTATCAACATCACAATGTTATAAAGTAGTAAGAAATAAGAGACCAGGGGATCTATCCCCCATACCACCCTCGTAAATACGCCACTGAAATTAATAGTTGAAACAACTAAAAATTGGTTGATGTGACCTAAATTTTCTTTCAATATTACTATAAATTTAACCAAAAATAATAGTTGTAACAACCAAAAATTGGTTAATCTAACATACATTTTTGTTTATTATCACAATAAATTCAACCAAAAATAATAGTTGTAACAACTAATAATTGGTTAATCTAACATACATTTTTGTTTATTATCACAATAAATTCAACCAAAAATAATAGTTGTAACAACTTAAAATTAGTTGAAGCCCCCCCCCCCCCCCCAATGGTCAGTTGTTGTCTAATCAAGTTCAGTCTGTAAATTGTTATATTTTTATAACGAGTGAATTGTCGTGTTACAATGTCGCTAAATAACTTTTAAAATGTCATATGTCAATCATCCGGATATTTGCTTATATCCGGACCACCCTTGACATTAATTAGTCCGGATAGTCGGAGTTCTACTGTAAAATTAACAGACGATAATATTGAGAATCCACTATCTAAATCTAGTATTTTAATTTATCCTTGGTAATTGCCAACGAAGAAGAAAACATAGACGCGATGGCAGTAACCATGGATTCTTGGTGTTTTAATACTATTTAAAAAAAAAAAAAAAACAACTAACATTTAATACTACGCTTATTTATTAGTTTATTACACGATGGAAAGACAGCTCCTCCGTGTAGTTTTTTTTTTTTATAAATTTGCGTCCAATCATCGTTTATCGTTGTGTCGTCTTCGACTTTCCGTGGATGCAGCGGCAGTGGCTGTGAAACGACTCCGACCTCCCGGAGCCTCATCGAGAGGACTCAGAACGGTCAGTGACTGGTGCAGGGTTCTCGAACGACTCGAACCATCCCGAAACTCCTCTGAAACGACCCGATGGTCCTCCGAAGATCGACTGACGCGGTGACGTGAGCTTTCGACTGCAGTGTTAGGAACTGAACTGCGTCGGTCGTATGGATGGTGGGTCTGTTTCAGATGGGTGGCGAAAACCACAATGTCGCTGTTGGAGGAGACCGGATGTTGGAGCTCTGCGAACATAATATAGGTAAAGTACATTACATTTACATAATTAAACAATATACATTGGTACGTAGGTACTACGTAACATACGAACGCAGGGCTGGATTTTGAGCTCCCCGAAGTCCTTTTAAATATGCCACCTACTTCAGAAATTAATTTAAGTTTTTCTTTAACAAATTAAATCAAATACAATAAATAATAAGAAAAAAATACTAGGGAAAAAATATTTAGAAGAATTATTTGTGAACACAATTTTTAGATATTTAATAAAGTTATATTGTAATATAAAATATAAAATTATAATAATTGAATAGATATTTAAAATTTTAAACTACAATTAAACAAATACGAAATAATTATATTATTTAGCTATGACCTTTTTTTGATGCAAAATCATCCAGTATATTATTAATTACACATGTAAATTGTCGACCATTTATAAAACCAAGCATTTCAGACCATATTATAAAATATCGAAGTCGGGTTTAATCCAGACATTAATCCGACTCATTGTTGAACGAAGACTTTACGCTTTTCAACTAAAACATTGTTCTAATATCTAATGAAATATTTTTGAATTCGCCCCCATAGGTTCGTACTATAAAATAGGTAATAGTTTAAAATTAATAAAAATATCATTGCGTATATTATAATATTATTATACTCAGTTATAGTCTGTTCAATGAGAGTGAAATTAGTGAGTATAATAAAATAAAATTTATAATTTAAATTTAATTATGACAAAATAATTATCATTGTTATTCTTCGTTTAAATATCTAATTTCATTCAAATTCGAATTTAAAAAGGTGGGCAAGTGGGTGTCGCTCTGCTGTACAGTAGGTTACAAGTGGGTCACTGTATAATGGATGATATTAAATTTGAATTCAACGATATAATATCATTGTATAAGAAAAACGATTCTGAGCGGAGACGGCATGTCAGTTTAGGTAGGTATAAGACATATTATATACATATCTATGGTTCTAAACCAAAATTTTACCTATAATAGGTACCTATAATAAATTCCAAATTAATCATATCTAAATATCTATTAGGTACTTATAACGCGTTATACATCAACAAAAACCGTGATACTATCATAGATTTATAATAGTACAATTTAGAAGTTTCAAGTACTCACGAATAACATTATTCAATCACAACAAAATAACTAAAATAGTTATTCTAGGTTTTTTATATGTAATTTCGCCAAATTTGAATTTAAAATGTCTGTAAAAAATAACTGTGTTCATATATTTTTTAGATTTTTTGGTTACAGTATGAACTATTAATGAGAACTTTTGTTTTAAATTTTCAGTCCTTAGCTATAAAAACTGAACATTTTATAATTTATTAATTACAATGATTGATAATTTTCGAGATTTTGATACATTTTGTCAAAATTCGATCTTTAAATGCTTATAAAAAAAAATTGTGCCTATGTATTAAAAATATTTTTCAACTGATATTGTAACAATATATCAGGAGCCTTGTATTCAATTTTTACACTTTTTGGCCCAAAGATAAAACTTTATTGATATTTAAAGAAAAAAAACTAAAAAAAATTTAAAGCTGTAAATGTCCGTAAACAGCTCAAAAAGAGTTAAAATATTTGGTGTATATAATATTTATGGTTATAGGAAATGCTAATATAAAAATTCAGGGAAATTTTCATGTATCTACAGATATTCGTTTTTGAATTACAACAAAATAAGGAAATCGCTACATGAGAAATCGAGTGAATATCCAATGTTGTAAAAATTTCAAACACTCATAAAAATTTAATTTGACTTTCTTATAGACATTTTTTTTTTGAGAAAGGTAGATAATCTTATAAGGAATCTTGTATTACATTTTCAAATCTTAGATTTAAAAAGAAAAATTTTTACGAATTCTTAACTTGAATTAATTTGCTAATTTTCCTGATTTTTCCATATTTTGCCAATTTTTGAACTTTAAATGCTTATAAAAAAAAACTGTTTCTAACGATTTTTAATATCTTTCATCTGCCTTTGAAACAATATACTAGGAGCCTTCTATTAAATATTCAAGTTTTTTTTAACAAATAAATAAAATTTTATTGATATTTCTAGAAAAAAAACTAAAAAAAAAATGAAAAAGGTGGGCAAGTGGGTGTCGCTCTGCTGTACAGTAGGTTACAAGTGGGTCATTGTATAATGGATGGTATTAAATTTGAATTCAATGATATAATATCATTGTATAAGAAAAACGATTCTGAGCGGAGACGGTATGTCCTTCTAGATATAAGACATATTATATACATATCTATGGTATTAAAAAAAATTGACCTATAATGAATTCCAAATTAATCATATCACAATATCCATTAGGTACTTATAACGCGTTATACACCAACAACAAACCCTGATACTATCATAGATATATATAGTAGATTACTTTAGAAATTTCAAGTACCCACGAATAATATTATACAATCACAACAAAATAACTAAAATCGTAATTCTTGGTTTAAATATGAAATTTTGTCTAAATTTTAAATTAAAATGTCTGTAAAAAATAAGTGTGTTTATATTTTTTTTTAGATTTTTTGGTTACAGTATGAATTATTTAAGAGAATCTTTGTTTTAAATTTTCAACTCTTAGTTATAAAAACTGAACATTTTATAATTTTTTAATTCCAACGATTGATAATTTTCGAGATTTTGATAAATTTTGTCAAAATTCCAACTTTAAATGCTTATAAAAAAAATCGTGCCTATGTATTTTTAAAATTTTTCAACTGATATTGTAACAATATATAAGAAAGCTTTTATTAAATTTTCAGACTTTTTGGCCCACCAAATAAAATTTTATTGACAATTATAAAAAAAAAAACTAAAAAATTGAAAACTGAAAATGTCCGTAAACAGCTCAAAAAGAGTCAAAATATTTTCAAAATTGTATGGTGTATAGGAAATGCTAATATAAACATTCAGTGAAATTTTCATGTATCTACAGTTATTCGTTTTTGAATTACAACAAAATAAGGAAATCGCTACATGAGAAATCGAGTGAAAATCCAATGTTGTAAAAATTTGTATTTCAAACGCTCATAAAAATTTAATTTGACTGTCCGGTAGAGATTTTTTTATTGATAAAGGTAGATAATCTTATAAGGAATCTTGTGTTTCATTTTCAAATCTTAGATTTAAAAAGAAAAATTTTTACGAATTCTTAACTCAAAATAATTTGCTAATTTTCGTGATTTTTCCATATTTTGTCAATTTTTGAACTTTAAATGCTTATAAAAAAAAATTGTGACTAAGGATTTTTAATATTTTTCATCTGCCTTTGAAACAACATATTAGGAGCCTTCTATTAAATTTTCAAGCTTTCGCAACCAACAAATAAAATTTTATTGATATTTTTAGAAAAAAAACTAAAAAAAAATGGAAAATGAAAATGTCCCTAAACAGTTCAAAATAAATCAAAATATTTTGAAAATGTTATCGTGTATAGAAAATGCAATTATAAACAACCAGTGAAAATTTCATGTATCTACGGTCATTTGTTTTAAAGTTACATCAAAAACCAAATTCGATTTTTTGGAAAATCGATTTTGCGTAAAAATTCCCGTTTTTCCTTAATTTTTATGTTGTTTTTCCCGGCGCTTGTGAAAACTACTGGAAAATGTTTACTTTTGACCCCCCAAAGTACCAACTAGATTCACTTTCCTATCAGAAAAGGTACTATTGAAGAAAATCGAAGCACTTTTACTGTCCCAAAACGTGATGACAGACACAAAAATATAAAAATATAAAAATATAAAAATATAAAAACATACATCATTGTAAAACCAATACATTCATCGCTCCGCTCAGAATCTAAAATGAAAATGTCCCTAAACAGTTCAAAATAAATCAAAATATTTTGAAAATGTTATCGTGTATAGAAAATGCAAATAGAAACAACCAGTGAAAATTTCATGTAGTCATTTGTGTTAAAGTTACACCAAGAACCAAATTCAATTTTCTGAAAAATCGATTTTGCGTAAAAATTCCCGTTTTTCCTTAATTTTTCTTTTGTTTTTCTTGGCGCTTTTGAAAAGTACTTTACTTTTTATTTTTTTTGTGTCTGTGTACACGATAAGTAGTCGAAATAATGCTTCGATTTTCAACTTCAGTATCTTGTTCGATTGGAAAGTGAATATCGTTGGTGCATTGGGGAGGTCAAAATTTAAAATTCAAAGTACTTTTCAAATGCGCCAAGAAAAACAAAAGAAAAATTAAGGAAAAAAAGAAATTTTTACGCAAAATCTGTTTTCGAGAAAATCGATTTTGGTTTTTGGTGTAACTTTAAAACAAATGACTGTAGATACATGCAATTTTCATTGGTTGTTTATATTTGCATTTTCTATACACGATAACATTTTCAAAATATTTTGATTTATTTTGAACTGTTTAGGGACATTTTCAGTTTCCAATTTTATTAGTTTTTTTTTTTATGAATATCAATAAAAATTTATTTGTTGAGTAAAAATACTTGAAAATTTAATACAAGGCTCCTACTATATTGTTTCAAAGACAGATGAAAAATATTAAAAATCGTTAGCCACAGTTTTTTTTTTTAAGCATTTAAAGTTCAAAAAATGACAAAATTTGGAAAAATCACGAAAATTTGCAAATTATTTCGAGTTAGAAATTTATAAAAAATTTTCTTTTTAAATCTAAAATATGAAAATGTAATACAAGATTCCTTATAAGATTTCCTACATTTATCAAAAAAATAAATTCTATAAGAAAGTCAAATTAAATTTGTATGAGCGTTTGAAATTCAAATTTTTACATGTAGCGATTTCCTTATTTTGTTGTAATTCAAAAACGAATAACTGTAGATACATGCAAATTTCACTGAATCTTCATATTAGCATTTTTTATACACAGTACAATTTTGAAAATATTTTGACTTTTTTTGAGCTGTTTACGGACATTTTCAGTGTTCAATTTTTTTAGTTTTTTTTTTCTACAAATATCAATAAAGTTTTATCTGTTGGGCCGAAAAGTGTAAAAATTTAATACAAGGCTCCTGATTATTGTTACAATAGCAATATAAAAATTTTAAAAATACATTGGCACAATTTTTTTCTATAAGCATTTAAAGATCGAATTTCGACAAAATTTATCAAATTTATAATTATTTTGTAGTTAAAAATTTATAAAATGTCCAACTTTTATAGGTAAGAATTGAAAATGTAAAACAAGATTCGACGTAAGTAGTTAATTCTGTTACAAAAAAATCTAAAAAATACATAAGCAAAGTATTTTTATAGTCATTTTAAGTTCAAATTTGGATGAAATTAGATAAAGAAAACCTAGAATAACTACTTTAGTTATTTTGTTGTGATTGTAAAATATTATTCTTGGGTACTTGAAGCTTCTAAAGTACACTATTATATATCTATGATAGTATCAGGGTTTGTTGTTGATGTATAACGCGTTATAAGTACCTAATGGATATTGTGATATGATTAATTTGTGATTTATTATAGGTTAATTTTTTTTAATACCATAGTAAGTATATAATATGTCTTACCTATACCTAGACTGATATACCGTCTCCGCTCAGAATCGTTTTTCTTATACAACGATATTATATCATTGAATTCAAATTTAATACCTTCCATTATACAGTGACCCACTTGTAACCTACTGTACAGCAGAGCACCTTTTAGATTCTCAGTGGAACGATGAATGTATTGATTTTACAATGATGTGTTTTTTTTTAAATTTTTATTTATTTTTTTATTAAAAATCGATTTTGGTTTTTGGTACAACTCTTAAACCAATGACCGTAGGTACATGCAATTTTGACTGAACGTTTATATTAGCATAAAATGTTTTGATTTATTTTGAACTGTTTAATTTAACCTAACCTTTTAGCTTTTTTTCTAAAAATATCACTAAAATTGTATTTTTGGTTAAAAAAGCTTGACAATTTAATACAAGGCTCCTACTATATTGTTACAATTTGGCATTTGAAAAATATTAAAAATCCTTAGTCACAGTTTTTCTTTATAAGCATTTAAAGTTCAAAAACTGACAAAATATGGAAAAATCACGAAAATTAACAAATTATTTTGAGTTAAGAATTCGTAAAAATTTTTCTTTTTAAATCTAAGGTTTTAAAATGCAATACAAGATTTTATTTTGATTTTATTATTAAATTGCGATATCCACTCACCGGGGCATTGCTGCACGGTATGGCCAACATGTCGGCACCTGTAACATCCTGAAACACGAAGTAGGCGTTAGTTAATAGTAAACATTTTAATGTACCTATCACCTATTTACTTACGTCGTTTGGCGATCGCCTTCCGCGGCGGCGGACGGCGCGCGGCGGTGGCGGTCTTGGCCGGCGGATGGCGCGCGGTGGTGGGGGTCTTGGCCGGCGGATGGCGCGGTGGCGGGTCTGCCAAAGCCGGACCAGTGCTGTGGCGCATGGGCATGATTGTCACCGGCCCGTTGAACGTCATTTTAAAAGATATATTGTTCATTCTAAAAATAAAAAAGATGAAACATTCAGTGGATGTCGGCACGATTTATTTGTTTTTTTCAGACCTGTGCAACGTAGACATAGTATAAATGTCTAACTATAACTTCCACGAGAGAACGGTACCGGCGGCCGACCAAAACGCGTCCGCCGCAGCGCATCCCCCACCAACTATCAGTTGTAAGCGTGATCACGTGGTCGTCCAAGCACCAATCGAATCATTTTACATGCGCGAAACGGTACCGTTCTCTCGTGGAAAAGAGTACTGAGTAGGTATACTTTGCCGGAAAGCGTGGGCAGGTGCTTAAAAAAAAGTAAGCCCTCTAAGTTTAATTAATATTCATTCATAAATACGATCCGCGTTGGATGTGTGGAAAACAAGCTAATGTTATTGTACTTATTTTAAAGTTAACAAATGAAAAGAAATAAAGAAAATGTACGGTAAAACAAAGCAATAAATTCGTTTGACAAAAATCACGTGTTGCGCACAATACTAGCCTATTATTATACGATCCGCGTTAAACGTGTTAAAAAACAAGCCCCTGATGTACACTTGCCAATTGCCTCTAATGTTCTATGCATTGTCAATCATTCTAAAGTTGATAAATAAAAAAAGTGTAAATTGAAAGAATTTTTCAGTATTATTACGTTTGTGGAATGATAAAATATTTTATTCGTTAAACGGATTATATTGATTGATGAATACCTGCGATCTGCGGTGAACGTTTTAAAAAACAACACATTTCATTAATAAAACAAAATAATATACTCACGTGTTGTCTGTTGTTTACTTCGTTTAGCAAAAGTCACTGCGACGGACGGCAGGCGGATGTTTAATAACGATTAACGGTTCGTCGACAAGTTGCAGTCGGACGTAGGCGCAGTTCATTGTCAACGCAGGCAACCAATGCAGGTAATTGATTAATGACATATTATATTGATATTGATTGATACACACGCAAACATGGTTTTCAAAAATTCCCGTCTTAAACAGAATACCGCCAAACCGGTAGGCCTTATCACCGAACGTTCATCGTCAGTAAATTACCCAGGGTGCGTTACGATTGCGTATGATACGATTGCGTATGGACCTTTTTCATTATTATGATTGCGAACATTCTACCTACCAATACTTAGTCCAACGTTGCCATTGTTCAAAATCGTGAAAATTTGTAATAAATAACTTATTTTAGGAAACGATCGCTTATATTTGATACAATTTCATAAACGTTACCGAGACTATTATTTCCAGGCCAATAGGTACTTTTTTGTAATCTATAAAATACTATATGAGATAAGATTAAATGCCGATTGTTATATTGGATTTCCTGGCGCGTGTCACACTTTAACATCGTTGTATTAGTATGCGACCAACTTGTCATTCGATAAGTCACTGGTTTTAGTTTTAGCATTAGTAAGTAATAGTGCGGTAACTATGGAGAGTTCTTTAAAAATTATAATGTCAGAACGTGGGAAAGAGTTAGCTGTGGTTTCTTCACATAAATATCGTTTTATAAGAAAACGCAAAGACGAATTATTAAAATGGATATGTTATAACAAAAGTTGTTATGCCAGTATTTTAACTGATGTCAAAAAAACTCAAGTTTTCCACAGAACTTTTAACGCTCATTTCTATAACTCACATCCACCAATATACTTTGTGCTTGAGGCATTAAAAGAAATGCAGGCTGAAACCAATATAAAAATATCCACTATACGTCTATACAAAAGAATATATCCAAAGCTATTCCATCTAAAGATATGCAAAAAATTAACCATGTTATAAAACTATACGACAAATTTAAAATAGATGGTAATATAGCTTATGTGTATTATTGAAGTTATACTTCTTTACGCAGGGTAGTGAGGAAAAAAAAGCGAACGGGCGCCGCGTACGAACGGGCGGCCGTACGAACGCGAAAGTGTACATGTCCGTAAATAAATAAATATTGTCATGGTAGTGTTGTTATATTATATATTATAAATTATAATCGGGCCACGTCAATATGACATAATAATAATATTAAGTATTAAAAAATATATAATGTTGGTCGGTGACAGCCACAGATATATATTTTATATCTGTATTGACAGCCGATGAGGTTTCGACGACGATGATAATAATGTAATAAGTATCAAAGTATAGTGGTTAATATTATATAAACGTTGCAAAATAAAAAACAGATTCATCTATCTTGGCCCATAATAATTAATATGAATAATTAATGATCGATTATTATTTATTTTTATTATTATTATTATTATTATTATTATTATTCACTCACAAATCTATTGTCTGGATAAAAACAATACTACAAACAATTATCCATCGATCTGTCGAATAAAAATATAAAAAAAATAATAAAACTATCAATAAAAAAATAATTCCGGATACTTCTTCTCATTTTTTAAATTAATTAATATTTTTTTCTTTCTTTTTCACTCACTCACGTGTACCATTCAAAAGAAGTTTAACTTCCCGCGCGCGAGTACTGGTAACACACATACTTTTTTTTATGTATTTTATATACCCAAATATTTTATATACCTAGTTTTTAATTAGACTATAATATTATAATAATGATTTTTCTTAATTATATTATTATTATTTTTAATTTTATTTAATTTAATAGTACATGTTGGCAACGTTGCACTCATTTTCGTACGCAATCGTAATGTTTTTAAGGCCTAGGTAGAGAAATCGTACGCAATCGTTTTACTAAAAGGGACAATCGTATATCACCGATTACCCAAGTATAGTAGGTACCTGATATATTTTAATATAATTAATAATTATTACTTAATTATTGGATACCTAGTGACGTGACCCGGCCGTCGCACATTGTCCTACTTATGATAACTTTACTGAGATAACTGACTGCTATACCCTGTTCAAAATAAGAAGCGACCTGATTTACGCTTGAAAACCGGTTTTACTAGTGGCCGCCTGAATCGCTTCTTAAAATGAACAGACTATAGACACCCCCAAAAAAGACGGCTGTTATACGATTTTTTTCACGTTATGTCGCGTTTTCGCGGACAGTAAAGAACACGGCCGTCCCACGTTGTCGGATTGCCTACCCGAATAACTGAGCTGGTGACTGACCTCCTAGACCCCAAAACATTTCATTATTATTATTATTATGTAATTGCATACCAGATTCCTCGACCTGGCCGTCGGACGTCGTCACGTTGTCTACCCGGGTGACTACGTCCAACGTCGAGGAAGGCGACTGACCTGCTAGACACCCAAACAAAAAGGCGGCTATAAAACTCGGCCGTCGCACATTGTCGGATATCCTACCCGTATTACTGAGGCGGACGTCATTCGAGTTGACTGACCTTCTAGACACCAAAAAAAATCGCGGCAGCTATATGATTTTTTTACTGGATTTTGAATTTGGATAATGAACGTTGTCCGCGATTCGACGCAGTCGGATCCCTACCTGATGACGTGACCCGGCCGTCACACATTGTCCGCTATCCGACGAACTTCGTCGGACGAAGTCGGATAGCCTACCCGTATTACTACGGCGAACGTCATTCGAGGTGACTGACCTGCTAGACACCCACAAAAATACAACGACTATATTATTTTTTTACGGAATTTCGAATTTCCGGCGGCGTTGTCGAAAAGACTCTGTCAAAGACTTTGTCCGCTACGCGACGACCCGGCCGTCCGGATGGCCTGCCCGAGCTACCACGTCGAACCGCAGTGGTCCTAGCCTTATCACACATCCTTATCACTATACCTCCTCGTCGCCGATAAACCGTGTCGGCTCGAGACCGCACATCCGCACCACGAGACCACTGCAGCTTCCGAAATCGACAACACTCGGGGCCTACTCATGAAGGTCTGGGGGTGTCCCCCAGCGACGCTCGGAGAGCTAGTAATAGTTATAAATATAGGTGCGTGACGCTGGCACCCGCAAGTTTGAAATTCAACTAAAAAATCACATCAGTAATTGTTATACAATTTGTACAATTTTGTAACCACAATTCCAAAATTTGTACAACCCCCCGTCGCCCGTAAAATCCAAAAACGATTTCCGGGTGCCAGCATCACGTGACGCTGGCACCCGGATTTCGATGTATTTGGCCTATCGACCCAAAAACCACATCAGTAATTGTTATACAATTTGTACAAATTTGTAACCCCAATTCCAACATTTGTACACCAAACGGTTTTCCACAAAATTGATATTGGTTTTTGGACTAACTCTAAAACAAATGAAATTTTCACTGGTCGTTTATATTTGCATTTTCCATACACGATAAAATGTTCAAAATATTTTGATTTGTTTTGAACTGTTTAGGAACATTTTCTGTTTCCAATTGTATTAGTTTTCTATGAATGTCAATAAAACTTTATTTGTTGGGTATAAAGCTTGAAAATTTAATACAAGGCCCCTACTATATTGTTACAATGTCAATTGAAAAATAATAAAAATCCATAGTCACAGTTTTTATTTATAAACATTTAAAGTTTAAATCTTGCCAAATACTGAAAAATCACGAAAACTACCAAATTATTTTGAGCTGAAAATTCATAAAAAATTATCTTTTTAAATCTAAGATTTGAAAATGTATCACAAGATTCCTCATAAGTTTTTCTACATTTAACAAAAAAAAAAATGTTAAAAGCAAATCAAATTAAATTTTTTATGAGCGTTTGAAATTCATATTTTTACAATATTTGATATTCACTCGATTTCTCATGTAGCGATTTTGTTATGTTATTGTTATTCAAAAACAAATAACTGTAGAATATACAATATGACAATTTTACTGAATGTTTATATTTTCATTTTCTATACAGCATAAAATGTTGAAAATATTTTGACTCTTTTTGGGCTGTTTACTTTTTTTTTATATAAATACCAATAAAATTGTATTTGTTGGGTAAAAAAGAGTGAACATTTAATGCAAGGCTCCTGATATATTGTTACAATAGCAATTTCAAAATACATGAGTACAATTTTTTTTTATAAGCATTTAAAGTTCAAATTTTGACAAAATTTAATAATTATTTTGTAGTTAAAAATTTATAAAATGTTCAACTATTATAATAGTTATATATAGCTAAGGTTCCCAACCTTTTTTGACTCGCGTTACCCTTGGACATTTTCTAAAAATCTGGAGGCACCCTATGCTCTATAGTCTATAGTCTATACTATAGAGTACTTCGGTTCTATTTATTAGTGCATAAGTATAATCAAAAGTAGTAAGGTGTAGGTGGATACTATATACATATTACATTTTATAAACAAATTGTTACATAGTATTTATTTTTAATGAAATTGTTTTTTCTAAAAAAATATTTCAAATAATTTCGCGGCACCCTAAAAATTTTTGCGGCACCCTGGTTGGGAATCTCTGAGCTAAGGATTGAACATTTAAAACAGGGTTCCACTTAAATAGGTAAATGTTATATTCAAGATATACCTAGGTAGGTACCTACATATTAAATATAATTTTTGCATAAAAATAAGAAAGATGGTAAAAGTTATAGGTACCTATTTAATTATAATTATATTATTCAGTACCTACATTTAATGTGCGCCCGGGAATTGGGCCACAATTCACCTTTCATTTCCATAGGTATACGGTAATTGGGCCACTAAAATGTTATATTTATAATAGGAAGACCCGGTGATTGGGCCACTATTACATTTTAAATTGTAATAAAATAATATTTAAGAGGATGTCAGAGCACTATTTGTTTACTCTAAGATTACTTAAAATCATAGAAAAAATTATTCTGCGTAAATGCGTTTTGTCTATGTTGCGCGTATACATATTTTTATATAAATTGATACAATTCCTAATACTGCAGCGCACACGAAACTTTACTCGAAGCGACTGCGTATGCCTTATCAAAAGGTAATAAATTATCCAATATCTTATGATGTAGAATTATCAATTGTCATCAAATGAAATGGATACAAATAGTCATACGCGTAACGCGTATAGTGTGCAAAGATTATGAAACATTCTAAATTGTGATCGTTTAGTTGATTAGCAAACTATACGATCGACATCTAGTAGTACACGCGTGGTTTGTAATATAAAGTAGGTGCAATGGAAGTGTTAATGTCCGAAAGAGGAAAAAAATTATTAATTTTTAATAATTATAAATTGTCTTTTGCTCATGAGAGCAGGGGCGTACTCAGGAATTTTCAATGGGGGGGGTTGAACATTTTGTTTTTTATCACGGGGACTTTGTCACCTCCTTTTTAAAAATATTAAATATAAACATGGTAATGTACTCTACAGAAAATAAATTTCAAAAATGAAAAATGTTTATTTAAAGAACAATATTCCGATTCCGATTGATTAACGTGTTCATGTTTTCTTTTAAGATTATTGTAGGGTTCAATGTACTTAGAACTTCCAGGCACACTAGTAAAAAATGTTATTATTTTATTTTTATTTTTATTTTTTGACTTTAAGCGTTTATGGAAAAATAATAAATACTTAAATTTTAATACTATCATTAATATTTTTCAAAAGTATATTAAATTACTATACATTTTAATAATTAATCTGTGTGAAATAGTACAAGTAATTTTAGTATATACCTAATTTAGAAAAAACAATTAATAATTTTGATTAAGGGGGCCTTGACAGTTTTACATTAAATTTAGGGAGCCTCACGACAAAAAAAATTGTGAAATACTGTACTAGATTATAGTGTAAAATATCTAAATATAATAAATATAACTAGCTGTCCCGGTAAAAGATCATGTTTTTAATGTTGCATTTCAATTTGAAAACTACATATAC